GCTGGGATTATGTTTGTTAACCTCTTCGCTTAAGATAATGTGGCTGGCCTGAACGTGCTTATTCATACAGCTCACTTATGCAGCTACATCTCATCCTCAAAGTCAGGTTTGATTGCTTACCATGCCTGGGATCTGATCTGGGGAAATCGCCTGAGTCCTTCGACTTTGATTCTTTTTTGTGGTAATTACATGCATGTCTTAGGTGATTCTTTTCCTGGTTTTCCTTTTTTTTGGCAAATACAGAGCCTCGAGCAGCAGCAGAAGAGAGAAGATAAAAATGAGTAATTCAGGATTCAGCTGGCAGGACGTTTTCAGAAATGCTGTGTTTTAAATAGGCTCCTTAGAAAGCTGGTGTGAAAATAGAAGGTGATGGGTTGTCCAGGGAGGTGGTTGAGTCCCCATCCCTGGAGGTGTTCAAAAAACGTGTAGATGTGACACTTCAGGATATGGTTTAGTAGGAATGGTGGTCTTTATCTTAGAGGTCTTTTCCAACCTATGATTCTATGAGTTTAAAAGTTTATGCTTAACTTTTATATACCTCATATAGCAATAGCCCTCACCAGCCTTGAAAAATCCAGTGTAAATCCTGCCTTGAAGAGGTTTTATTAGCCTGCTGACTAACAAGGAGCAGGCTGCAGGTATCCAAGGTGCTTTCCTCAGGAGATTGCATCAGTACGTGTGTCTGCTATTTTCTTGCCCTCCTCTGTGCAGCTGGGAGGGCAGGTGACCTTCAGCAACCCAGAGAAAGCCTGGCCTTTTAAGGACCTTCACCTGCGTGTCTGACCTTGGCTCCCAACGAATATCTAGGAGCCTATCAAGAGACAGAGCTGTTGTGATTTAGGAAACCACCTGAAACTCTGGGCAGCTTTGAACTTTGGATGTTCATGCAGGAGGGCGTGCTGAAGAAAGGTTAGGGGAAAACAGTTACAAAGCACAGACGATCGTAGTGCTTTGTTCTGTCTGCCTTCTAACCTCTTGGCTTCTGACTTTGTGTGTAAAAGCCTGGCTTCAATTATTGCTAAAGAAATCTGTTCCTAGCTCTGGCAAGCCTGTCTGGTGTTGGAGGAGAAGTGCCCTGGTGAAGGTGGCAGCTTGTTCTGAACCCAAACAGTACGTGCAGGCAGCCTGAAGAGACTTGGCCCACATGCATGTGGCAGGGGGGTACAGATGGGGCTGGCTCGGTGCCTCCTGCGTGGCCAGAGCTGGTGCTGCTGCTGCTGCTCGGAGCTGAGTGTAAGGAAGCGCTCTGTCCTTACGTGGGAAAGCTGGGAAGTAACACAAACTGCATACCTCACTCCCTTGGGTTTATTCTGTATTTAGTTAGAGTATTCATTCAGAATTGGCTTGCTTTTGCTTCTTCCCCCACCTTTCCTTTCCTTTTTTAACCCTCCCCTCCAGCTCTTTGGTTATGGTACTTTTTTTTAAGAGTCAAAACTACTCTTCAGGTGGATACAAGTATTCAGTTTTTGAACTCTGAAGCTTCTATCCCCTGTAGTTAGTGAAATAATGTCACAAAGTATAGAAGAATATTTACCTTTTCAAATTTTGTAATGTATGTTGTCATTATTCTCGTATCATTCAGAATGCACATCAGTAAAGGATCTTGAGACCATGTCCATTGGGCCAGGTACACAGAGTTGCAGAGTATCTGTGCTTTGCCACTGAAGACTTCAACTGAAGTTCTTCCTCAGTTTCTTAACTCCCACCCCAGCCCAACATAAGCAAAAATCTGGGGTTTTAGTTCTAGAGAGGCAGCTGCACAGTCTCTAGCAAGTTGGAAGGAGTAAACCAACAAAGAGACTATGGATTTGGAGATTACAGATGTCAAAGAGTAAATGAGAGATACAGGCTTCATAGACTTAATATAAATAATACATAATATAATATGATATAATACAATATAAATAAGAGAAAATATAGTAATTTCATGGGACAAAGACACAGATCCATTTTCCTGTCAGATCTATCTGTCAGTACCTTTTTGGTAGTAGCTGTCATTCAATAACTCAGCATTTACCATTCTGCCAGCACATTATGCTGCCTTCTGGATCCCTTGATGGGCACATCAGATATGCTGTGTCCAATCTATTAGTAGTTCCACCCCTCAGATCTTTCCTCTGGCACCAGGCAATTCAGAATATATCAGAAACGGGTAAAAATGAGGTAAACGTCTAGACTGATATGTATCCCACCCAAGTCCCACTAAGAGTTTCTGTTGAGTTAGGATTTGGGATTTAACATTGTCCTTCTGCTTTATCCTGTACTTCTGTCCTGCATCTTTTGTCAGTGTGCGGAACAGGTAGAAGGTTTCATGCTTATAATGAGTAATTTAATTCACACATGACATTCTTCTGTGCCAAATGCAGGATTGAGTGATATGAGTCGCACTATGAATGAGTTACAAAAGGCTTATGAATATGAGTGTTTGTCTTTCCTGTGTGTTTCAAAATAATAACCAACTTTAAGGAAAAGTTATGACTGAAGGCTAGCTGGTGAGAAAAGGGCATTTTGTGATCACGCTGCAGTGTTCCCATCCAGGAATTAGGGCTCAGTGCTAATCCTGATGAATACAAGGAGTGCAAAATCTTGGTCTCATCCCACAATCCCATTTGTAGGATTTATAACAAAATTTAATTTATTAATTTAATGATTCTCTGTGGAACTTCATTTGGAGGTCCTTGGGGGCTACTTCTAAAGGGATCTGCAGAAATTAAGGAGAGCGAGTTTATAACCAATAAATGTAAATACATTATGTAAAATAATTACAAATAAAATATGCACTAGAAAAGGTTTAAGGAGACATGAATCAAACAATATAATAAACGCTAATTTAGATCGTGGACAGCAAAGAAAAAAGCAGGAATAAGAAAGGTGGGACAAAGTTGTGGCTGCACCACCAAGAGACGCAGGTGACTTGTGGCATTACTCATTGCCAGGCTTACTCATACTATGCATTAATGGTTCATTTTCATCACAGAGAAGATTTAGTTCAATGAAGATTTTAAAAAGGGAAAAACATGATTCCAGACTGGAGCTCTGCCATTTGGCTGAACAGCAATTTCAAATGTGGAAGATGCAGATGTAAAATTTGAATTCTTAACATGACAGGATGATTTATGAGGCGCTGTGAAGTTATTTTTTCCTGTCTAGTAAATCCATTTGCTTTTGTCTCTGCATAAGTTTGAAAGTCGTATCTGTTCCAACGCCAGAATATTTCCCCCTCGTCATCACCTGTGCTCTTTGGCTTTTGATTGTCAGGTTGCTCAGGAGTTCCTGCTTCTAGGATTTATCAAAAAAAAGCACTGATCATCTCAAGAGTCCGTAGTCCATATCAGAGGATGCACTTTCCAGCTTTTGCTATTACAGACAGAAGTTGAAGGGCTGAACTAGGTAATGAATTATCCACAGAAAACATTGTGACTAGGCAGACTGGCAATCAGCCATCGTATTAAAAAGCAGCTGCAGAAAAGAGTTTTTTCTTTTTTATTCCACACACAAATTCATGTTCTTTTTCCATGCCATATATGATGTATACTGAGCAAGTGAAACATAAAAATAGTACTAGGAATTGGGTACACCCTGAGCCCCCAAAGCAGAGAGCTTAACCAGCCTGCAGTGTAGGACTGGTATAACTAACGATGATGGGAGTGCATTAGAAAAATGTGGAAAGTCAGGATTACATCATTGTCTCATTCTGTCTTGTTTCAAATATATACCTTTAATGGCAATGGTAAATATGCATATGCAGCAAGCCACATCTGCTTTCTCCACCCTGAGTGATTTTCCTTGGGGTAGCCTCTGCCTTGCAGCTCCTGGGCTGATGCGTGAGGGGTCCGGCTCTCCTCGTATTCGCTGTTCGTGACCTCACGCAAGGCACCACGAAAAGTGGCCTTGTTTTTGGAGATGGAGATACCCCTTTTGGTTTAATTCAGCCTTGTTAATAAAAACAAATCAAAAATATGGGTCCGTTGGATGTTTGGTTTCAGGACACAGTGAGGTGAATTGCTAGAGGAAGAAGGGAGGTTTCCTCAAAGGCTGGCAGTGGCTTCACCGGAGCTGCGATACCAAGCCTCTTCCCAGTTCAACAAAGGGCAGCTGGCAATACTGTAATTGTTGAATGTTTTTCAAAACTGTACTATTGAAATGTAACTGGAAGCTATTAAAAGATCTAATATAACCAGGCAAGAAATGCTTCAGTGAAATGCAAGTCCTACTGGTTGGTTGGAGCCTTTATAATTGTTTTATAAATAAACTTTGTGTCTATACTCCTTTTTTCGCAGTGAAGTAAGATCCAAAACATTCAAATATGTCCTTTATTTCATTTTCAGTTAATTCTTACACTAGTTTCTAGCATGAAAGAAGTGCATTTTATGGATTTTTTCCTGCTGTAAGCTCCCACAACCTTAGAAATGATACAGATGTCTGACATTTGGGTCTTTCTCCTTATCTGTTTCACAAATCTCAAAGCTCGTAACCGCTGTGATGCAGATGCTCCTGGATACGGCAGGTTTCCCATGTGTTGTGCACAAGTGCACGGCATTGCAAAAGCACACCTCATTTTTCATACCTAGAAATTGCGAGGCAGGATGCAGAACAACCCGCTGAAACGTCTGCCTCATTTCCCAAGCGGCGGCGGCGGTGCAAGGCTGGGTTAAGCCGTGCTGGAAGCAGAGCCCCGCTGCCACCTGCGCTCCTCACGCCCGCGGTGCCTGAGCTCGCTCTGGTGTCTCCCAGCGCCGCCCAGATTGCAGATCTGCGTGCCTCTGCCAGGAACCTGCTTCTCCGTCGATGGGCCGCCGGCAGTCTTGGAAGAGCTAACGATTCATGCATTTTTATGAACTTCTAAAGACTCTGACTTGCAGTGAATGCCAGCATTTTCTGTGCTTGGTTAAAAATTGCTCCATACCACACGTTTTTTCTTTCAGACCGTCCCTGATGTTGCTTTTCTTCCGAATTTTGTCCCTTTTGTAATGACCATCTCCTTTGTTTTCTGTTCGCAGCGTGGTTTACAGACGTACTGCTTCCTAGTGTTTGCTGCCATCTGCTTTGCGGGAGCTACCTACCTGTTTTTTGTTCTGCCTGAAACAAAAAATAAGACATTTAATGAGATCAGCCAGGCATTTGCCAAAAGCAATAAAGCATCTTTAGAAATGCAAGAAGTGAACCACTACCCAGCAGAGGGGAAATCGAGTGCAGAACAAGAATCAAACTTCACGACTTCGGTGGACAATGGGGAAACCAAAAAACGGATTATGTAAACCCAGGACGCTCTGTCGGGGGACGGAGGGAAACATGCTCTTTTCATTCAGTACATTTATAGCAGTGCACAACTTCTATTTCTTATGTGACAGCATGAACTGCTTCCCCCTTGAATATATTTTAAATGAGTATGGGTGAATTCGTTAGTAGCTAGGGTGATGATTGAGAAAATGAGAGATGGGAGTAGTGGCAGCTGATTAAATAAAGAAGAGCTGGAGTTTTCTCGGGCACCTGTGAAATAGGTGCTGCGGTGAGTGTGGTGGGGAATATAGACTCGGAGAGCTGAAGTGGTGTTGGGGAGCCGAGATTGCGAGCAGCAGCTGGCTGAGCCCCTCTGTGTGCTCACGGGCAGGTGTGCAGGCAGTCACCGGGTGGGGGAAGAGGAGGAGGAGGAGGAAGAGGCAGGGAAAAGGGAAGCGATCCCGGCAGGGGTCTGCTAAGAATCGATGCAAGCAAACCTGAACTGGTACCGGCTTGCATTTCTCCATGCTTCCCAATACGTCATTCAAGTTGCACGTGACAATTGAGGACTTGAAAGAAGACTGGTGACACTGCCCCGGCCTCCTGTTCCTTTTCCAGCTATTTTGACTTTCAGTTGCTCTGCCTGAACATCTCCCACCTTCCCACAAATGCGGAGCTCCAGGTCCTGATGGGTTTCCTTGTCTCTCTGGCAAATCCTGATCAACTAGTAATAGAGTTGCCTCTAGTTTCTGGGTTTGCTGGCGCTACGTTTCTGTGGATATACGTGTATATTTTTAATTTTATTTTTTAAGAATAGGTGTGGAAGCTTTAATACGAAAAGAAAACTAAACCTCATGGTGAAGTGAGAGAACTCTGATGATATGTGGAGGGTGTAGCTTTATAAAAAATATCAAACACTAAGTCTTCCAAGGGTTGCAGTTTTTTAATTGTTTTTTTGCCTTTCTTTTCAGGTTCCTTTAAAAACAAGTCTTAGGAGCCAAAATTTCCCCAAGACCCAACAAAGGTCGTTTCTTAACACTCAGATCTCTCCAAAGCAATTTGGGTGCCTATTTCTTATTTAAACACTAATTTTAATTTGGGCATTAGATTCTGAAGCTCCAGGCCTAGTGCACATTAATAAGTTTATAAGCTATTTAATGCTTTGTAAAGCTGTCCTCAGAGTCTGCTTAATTTCGTGACAGAAAGGCTGAGCAGGCTATTGGGGGTTAGGTGATCCATTCCCTTCCATGTGGGATTTTTTTTATTAACATTATCTTTCCAGTTTGTAATTTTGATAATAGTTTTTCTTGATCCTTCTAGGTACCTGGATGCTGACGGGGTAATAAGCACTTTTAAATTAAATAGTTAGCGGTTTTATATGAAAAGTCAAAAAGTCTTAGAGCTGCTCTCAGTTAGGAATAAGGTACAAGAACCAAGTGCAGCATGTAGATAGAGCCAACTGCTTCCACAAGTTATATTTACTAATGCAGATGTTTATAAGTTTGGAGCATTTTGGAAAAAAAAAAAGTATATATATATACACACATATATATACATGCATACATACATATATGAATATATATTCCAAATATAGAAATATAGATTAGTATTTATGTTCATATATATAAACAGTGGAGAATTGTTTATGTATATTCATTTTTTTCAGATTTCCCCGAGTGATAAGCTGTTTATTATTTTGTTCTACACTGGAAATTCAAATCAAATATCCTAATGTTCAGCTATTACTACTAAATTATGTATATGGTTCTATACTGTGATTTATTTATATGTGGCATACATACAGCACACATTGTAAGCTAATCTAATAGCGCAATTTCACTACTGGGTAATACAAGTAAAATTGATCTGAGCCTTTATGCCAGAATTTATGCTCTTTTACTGGGATAGAGGTACAGCAGCAAGTAAGCAAATAAAAATATATATGACCAAGAGAATTAAAAATGAAAAATCAAATTTATGACTTTGGTGCTACTGTTAAGAAACAGAGTGAATCAAGATTATACAACTGATAATCATAGATAGAAGCTAATCAAATGCTGTAGAGAAAAATGAAGAAAAATATTTTGTAATAGACACCTGTAAAATTATATATACAGCAAATGAACATGGCATCTTTCAGTGGCTTTAATTGCCTGTTCCATGTGTTACATTGCTAAGCGAATGGCTGTGTAAAAAATGAGTTTGAATGCCACCTGTCCAGACAATTTCAGAAAGAAATTCTTCCTCTTCTGCCTGTGGGGCGAGACTGGCAAATTCAGACCCTCTTGTTCAGACTGAGAATTGCCTTGCTTTACATTTAGGGCTACTAACATTGACTGATATGATGTGATTTGAGTCAAAGTGGCAAGGTTGGAAACCATGATTATTATTAAAATTAGGACCATTTAGCACTTAGTGCTCTTCATTAATGTACATTACAGGCACTATTTGTTGATAATGTTGCCATTGGATAACTTCAATAAAATATCACATTGGCCTGATACGGCAGTTGTGTTGGACTTCTGCAATAAGATTAAACCATCTTACAGTTGCTTACAGTTGCATTTGGAGCCCAGCTCTGAATGTGTTGGCAGAGAGATGGCTCGATAGAATTTCCTGTCACTCAGGGGCTCAGGGGCTTGTACAGCATTAACAGCAGGGAGTTGGTTTTTTCTCTTCCGCAACCCTGTTTGCCCATCTCTTGCCCTACCTGAGAGGCACTTTATGTGTGGCTGCGAAGAGAGTTGCGACAGAGCGAGTGCGCCGTGGGACAGTGGCTGCATGTCTTGCCAGCAGTTTGCTGCAGCCCATGGTAGAGGTTAAAAGCAATTCCAGTCTCCAGACGTGTACACGTGCAGGTGCTTTGCACACTGGCCAGGGACAGTGGCTGCAGTCTCCTCTGCCTTGGGTTGTGGAGCTTTCTGAGCAAACCTGATGTGCCAGTACTGCATTAACTTTCTCATCTCTGACCCTAATGAGAGTTTTGTGGTGTTCTTCATGTTGTTCCATAATGTTTTTTTCCATTGTTATGCTGCTATAGCTTCTCCAGCAATGAGAGGACAAAGTGGAAAATATCAGCAATTTATCATTTGTTTTTTTCTTGTTGAATGTATCAAATTGTCTACGGCCCATGTGTTTGTCAGTGAGCGCTGTGTGGTGCCGCGTTCTCTTTTCCTGTCTCTGACACTGGGATGAGGTACTGTGAGATGCTGTTTGTACGAGTACCACAGGTGGGTTCCATGTGTGTGATCACCTATGTCCATGCACAGTGATTGCAAAATAAACCTTTGGAATGAAACTAAAATTATGTGATTTTGTTCTGGGTAAATCTGAATCTCTACAGCTGTACAAGTTTCATTGTACAATTCCTTGGGTTTTTGTATGTCCCAGTACAAGACTGCAATGACCCATGTCTGGATGACCCGAGTCACTGTGGAGTCTACAGTGGGGTGGTTGGGAGTTATGGGGAAGAAAATCATCCATGAAACTGGGGGTTTTTTTAGCACTATTTACATTTAGCTTCTCAAATCAGCTTCCATATTTCATTCTTTCATATGTTTATATTGGGCTTTAGAAATAAAAATACAGACATCAGTGATAGGCAAATGATTAAAACTGGCTAGTAGTAGTAATAACTGTGTATAAGATTTGTTCAATCTGGTGAGGCTTTTTTGCAGAAAGTTGTCATTTGCAATGGATGACTTTGAGTTGCTAAACCTCTACTTTCTTATAAGAAATTCAAATTACTATTTCTGCTACAAAGATATGCAAAACCTGAGATCTGAAATATGTATAAAAAATTGAATTTCATACTTCGGCTTCTGAAGCCAGTTTTCACTCCACAAGGATCTGCTTTCTAGTGGGGGAAGATGCAAGTAGTTCAGCCATATGGGACAATTTTCATCTTCAGAGTAAAATGAAAGAAAAAAGGAAAAAAAAGAAAAATATCACACGAAAAACAACTCTTTGAAATGTACTTTCTTCCCTTTGACTGTTTTTATGTGCTTTTCCGTACAGAAATCATAGTATCAACTATTAGAGCTCCCATCACCTCACACAGCAGGAAGAATAAATCTGAGTAAAGCACTCTTAGGAAATGCCTGTGGTCTTCTCCTTTCAGCCTGACTCCAGAATACAGAGTTCAGACACAACCTAAAATCCTGAACTACAGAGAACCAAACTATGAAGTCGGTTTGCTAATGCAAATATTCAAGCTGTTAAAAAATTCAAGTTTGGGTCCGTATGTAATTCTCTCTCCAATTGATTTTATTTGGGAGTGAGCCCTGTGAAAAGGTGAATTTCATGGCAAAAGCTTGGTACTTCGACTCCTAATCAAGTTATCACAGCTCAATAAGCAATCACGCATAACCTGAGTCACTACAACCCTCTTCCTTGCAAGATAAGCTGCATTAACCTTGCTTTTTACATGACCTAAGAGAAACACAGGCAGTGGATGGTCGAGCTCTTTCTTGAGATGTTCCCACTAGAGCTGCGCTACAGTCAAATTCTTTTAAACCTAGAATTTTGATTTTTAAAAAACATAGAAGAAAAGCTTTCAGGAGACTTTTATCCAGTGATTAATGAAGTCAATAGAAATCTCCTCCAGTGGCTTCAGCTGTACAAGTGCACCAAAGAAAGGCATGGTATACATCGAGGAGTTCTAAATTTAGGAAACCCTGCACATTTTTATCTCTTTACATAGTAAACCGATGGCTTGCATTCTTAGTTTGGGAAAACGATGTAATTATTCAGATGCTGCAAAAGCACTGATCTGATGCTTTTCTTCTGAATTTGGGGGCCGGGAGTGGCTGGGTGGTTGGTGATTTTTTGGGTTTTGTTATTTAAGTGGGAGCAGTAGTAGTCTGCTTCGTACGCCAAAGAGTACCGAGCATGACACTGCTGGAGTTGCTGGTTGTCTTAAGATAATACCCCTAAAGGTAAAAAGGAAAATATAACGCTATCAGACCCCTGAAACATGATACATTCTGACCATGATCTTGTAAGGGTAGGAGATCATTTGTCTGCTGCTACGTTTGCT